TGCAAGTCTCAAACTTCCCTGCAACCCAAGTGCCAAAAGTGGCCCAATTACTAGAGTTGACCCAGTCATCCCAAACTCTTAACCGCTATGGTTTCTATACGGTCTTAACATCGTCAGACAATAGCTGTCAAATCTAGGTAAGAATCCAACGGCTCACGTGAATGTAGAGGAAATCTAAACCGCTTTGTAATTCGAAGTTGCCAGCATATCAGTCGTTAGATTTGAGGGTATCCAACGACTTAAATGATGAATAACATTTAGGGTTAAACTATCACATGCGCAGTCCAATCTCGGCCGTCAGATCTGACTCGTAAATCTAACGACCTAGGTCGCATCATTAAAAGCATTAGCAACTCTCGTCTGTCAGATCTACAATGCGTGTGATCAACGCGCACCCATCCATATCACCCACGTATCTCCAAAAGCTTCTTTCACATCTAGCTCACCCTGAGCGTCCTGTCGATGGTTCCACCCCCCCCCCCCCAAAACGCCAGCACCCACAAACAAGCCATGATTGTCCCTCTCTCCCTTGTGTGCCTTGTCAACAGCAGTAACCCACACTTGTACATCAACGGTCAACAATGCAGTGGTCCCTTATCTCTCGTCATATGATTTGTACTGTTAACCGAGAGAACGATTATCTGGGTTGTACGATAATTTTTTATTTGCTGAAAACAATCCTGCAAACGTCCTTTAAAGGACTTGCAAAATGAAGAATCGATGGTGGTTAAAAAAACGAGCAACAAAAGAAAACAACCACCAAAGGAAAATCGAGCTAGAAAAATAGAGAAAGCAACAAAAAACCTGTGAGGCATTTGTAATAAAAACCAAGAGAAAAAACAATACGGGAAACCAATAGTTCTTTCGAAGATCCTTAGGGCGTGTTTAGTTTAAGTAATCGTAGATTACTTGGGGGAATGAAATGTTATTCTCTCGTTTGGTTGACAAACATTTTCAACCCCGTTAATCTTTTATTCTCAACAGTGGTATTTTGAGGTATATTATTGGGAATGCGATTACCCCTTTTCTTAAATATTATTGGATTACCGGCGTTTTGGACTAACATGTTCTTAAATTATTTTAAAAAAATATATATTTCTTCTGTCGTTAAATAAAAAATTATTGAAATGTAAAATTATAAATTTATCCTTAAACTATTTTAGATTTACAAAAAAATCAATAATTAAAATTTTATAAGAAATTCAGGGGTTAAAATAAAATTTTACCATTTCATTAAACATATTTATCTTTTCAATTTTGTATATATATATATATATATATATATATATATATATATATTATGAATTTAAAATTTTTAAAGAAAATATATAAATTAATTATAGTAAAATTATAATAAATTTCAACTTGTTAAAAAGTAAATATATAATAAGGACAATTTGGTAAAATATACATTCCAATAGTCTTTTATTCCTTTAACCAAACACTGTAATATTACATTTATGTTAAACGAATCAAACACAAAATACAACATTCCCAGTAATCTTATTCCCGCTGGTAATCTTATATTTCGTGAACCAAACGCACCCTTAGGTTCTTTCTGATCGCCGCCTTCGGCAAACCTTTTCTAAAAGATATTATAATTACTTGATTTTATTTGGGACATTTAATTCGAACCAAAGATATATAGGAACTGTAAGAAAATAAAATGTTTAATGTCAATCAAAATATTCCATTTGATTTCTTTTCATATCCCGGTAATCTCATTATAAAAATGTATTAATATAATTGATTTAATTTCCTTAAATAAAGAGATTATATAGATATATTTTAATATTAGTCGTTGATGTAAATGATATAAATTATTGGATGTAAAGAGACTCGAATATAAATTGATGCAATCTCCATGTCATCGAAGACACAAAAAGTAAAGGAGATTCACTCCTCACTTCTCAAAAATAAAAGTATTTAATCAACAACCAGTTGATCTAGTGGAATAAACACTAGATTCCTTAAATAATGTTAGGAGTTCGAACATTGATATTTGTGTATAGAACAAATTAGGTTGAGAATGTCGCTCTCGCCTATGTAGTATTATTTAGATTAATTAGTCAATAGATTATATATCAGTAATTAATTAAAAAATATTTATTCCACATGTCTTCTCTTTGTATTTGGTGTCTCTTTAGATGTGGACTGTAAAACTCCTAGCCGTGGTGCCTCATACTTTTTGAGATTTGCAATTGAAATTTTTTGTCTTTATTTCTTTTTATTATGAATTTTTATTTCAATTTAATTAAGTCATGTATTTTTTTGTTGATTTATTTTATTTCATTCATATTTTTATCCATGTTGTTTAATTTATTTTATTTTTGTAAAAAAAATTCAATTTCACGTGTTATTCATTTTTAATATTTTTTATTATGTAAATATCTTTATTTTTTACTACATTAATATAAATATATATATTTCCGTATTTTAATACTTTATATCAATTATTACAACCATGATAATTATTTTTATTATGTATATCTTTTATTTATTATATAATATGATTTAGATATATTTGTTTCTTTAAATATTAAATGCTATTTTTCTAATGTTTTTTTTATAGATAATTATATTAAATAACTCAAATCAGAGGTAAATAAATGGATCATTCTTTAAATTTGGATTCGAATTTGTAATTTCCATTATTAAGGCAATCCTTAATTGATTTGGAATCGATTTCTAGTGTTGTGGGGTGTTCATCATTCCTCACATGTAACCGACTCTTGAACCATTTCAAGTGAATATGTAGTAAAATGCATATGCGGTAAAAATGTAATATTTAGGTATTCGTCCCTATCTAACTCAAATGGTTAGTGGCAACTATAAAAATTTATTCACTCAAGTCTGGATTCAATCAAGTCTTTCAAATGACTGTTCCAACATATATAAAATGAGTTTCTTTCTCAAATTTACCCTGTTTAGAGCCACATTTGCGAGAACCAAATCTAAAATTGGCTAGATGAGATGAAAATGATTAAAAAAAGTTTGAAAATTCTTTGGTTCTATCACCGACACCGACGATCGGTGTCGATCTATGATAATAGATAAGTGATTATTTGTCGAAATCTAATTTTTTTTCAAAATTTGACCAACATGCAAAGAACATGGATGAACACTTCAGAGGATTTTAACTTTGGGTTTTTTTATTTCTCAATTTTGAAGTGAAAAAGACTTGTTGTTATGTTTGGCTTATAACCCGATCTCTACCCATCAAAGATTTGCGCCTTGCTGATGGGTTTGGTCTATTTTTCTTTGCGATCCTTCACATTTTCTTAGAAGTTTCGGTTTAGTCCTATTTTCCTGTTAATGTTTATTTATTTTTTATTTACTACCACTGATTTTGTATTTGTTTCAATTTCACTCTCATGTATGTCTGTTTATTTATGATTTTGTAAGTTCTTTTCATTTGTATTTTGGTCGCGTAGTTTACTGTTTATTTGATTTAATCCTAAATAGCGGTGTTGTTCATGATTTTTTCCTTTTCGGTTTCGAGCATGCTTATTCGTGGTTTTGTGCATTTTAGTCCATCTTCTTTCATTTTATTTTCACATTTTGATAATATTTTCTAATTATGTTTCATTTTAGGCATCATATCATATCATACCATACCATTATATTATGTATATATACCTTATATTATAAGTGTAGATACCTTTTTTTGACTATACTTATATGTATGTATCAAATATGTATATTACACTCGTGTATAGGTACTAAATATATTATAGCATAAATCTTTTTTTATTATACTTATATAATTTATACTAAACATGATTTGATTATCATATAATTTATATTCAAAAGCTTCAACTCCACTCCATCACTAACCTCAACCACCATTCAATCACTCATCACTAGCTACCATATCTTCCATCAACTATCAATCATCAAACTTCATCATTCTTGTCACCACATTAACACAAAAACTCAACCTTTAACCTAATTTCATCTTATCCATCGCCAATTTAATCAAATAACCACTACATTCAAGCTCTAACAAGCACGAACCAAACAATCTTGATGGTAAAGGAATGGTAAGGATTGATTCCGACTTTTCGAATTTCTCTAACCATATAAGATATATATTCATGTTATTTTCACATTATAATGTTATTTAATATATCAAATACAATCTAGAATTATAAAATATTTACAATATTATATTTAAAGAAGATATTTTGAGGATAAACTATTAATGAGAGTATAAAAGAGTCAATGAATTGCCGGGAAGAAATAATTTACAAACAATTGCAGTCAAAAGACCAAATTGAGTAAAATGCAAGGTTAATTGACTAAATAAAAAGAGAGTATTTTTTAGTAAAAAAAACATTAATTGAAGTTACATAGGTATTTTATAGTGTTATAGCAGCATGTAGCTTAAATTTGGTAAAAAATGGACTTAAAATAAAGGATGAATTGTAGGAATAAGGAAATTAGGGATGTCGACAGTCATTTTCGTCCGAGTTTACGTATTTATATTATTATTATTATTATTAAATAATAATATTCCAAGCCCAATTACAAATAAATGCAAATTGAGGCCCATAACCCGAAGACCTAAATAAGCAAATCGGAGCCCCATTTTACAAGACCAACCCGAGCCAGACCTAGAACCGAGCCAGACCCATAACCGATCCAGGCCCAAACAATCCAGACCCGAGAACTCCATAACCCATCAGCTAAGGTTTCTCACACATCTCATCTCAACCGCCACAAATCTCAACCGTTGGATCTGGAGAGATCCAACGGCCCAGATGATGCCATAAGAAACCCTAGGTTTCATTACAACCCTAGGGTTATTCCGGCCGCCACCTTAGATTGATGATAATCCTGTCGTCGCCACCTCTAAATGTTCTAATCCGATGTTGCCACACAACCACTGACGCCGGCCAAGATCAAAGAAGATCTGGGTGCATTTAATGCACCCAACAAATTAACCGCACACCTCACAAGCCCTAGGATAAGTCACCACCATATCTCTGGTGACTCACCAGAGCTTCATCATTACGAACGGCGTCTGAGGCCTATAAAAGGCCATTGATCCTGCAAGAAGAAGAACATAGGGAGAAGAGCAAGGGACGCAGGGAAAACAAGCAAGAGACGAATATACAACGACTAAAACCAACGAAAAAATCTAGAAAAATAGAAAGAAGAGATTGAGAGAATCTTACCCTCGTCAGAGCCTCCACGCGTCATCGGAGAGTCGAAACATCGAAGGTAAAACCAATTAGATCTACTTCGATTGGGAAGTTTTTAGGATATATGGTTCCCGATTTAGGCTTTTGGGAGAAAAAGAGTGTTTTGGGTGTATTCTTGAATTCTGGTGGCTATCGGCTCCGACGTACAGCGGTGATTGGTTCTCCCTCCGGTGAGGGAGTTTAGAGAGAAGTCAGAGCTTCTCTTTAAAGAGAAGCAAAAAGAGGAAAATAAAGACTTTAAGCCTAAAAGGCCGATTTTTTACCTATTTATACCCCTCCCCGAACGATATCATTTTGGGGATGCGTAATTTTGAGAATGGAAAAATATTATCCGTGGTCACTATACTTTGTAAGCCTTACAATTCAGTCATTGAAATCATGTTTATGTGTATTTCAATTTGGTATTCGGATTTTATTTTATTTCTTTTTAGTCATTAGTCGTGTTTATATATATTTTAAGTAAAATAGCCTATTTAATCCTTAGATTTTAATAACTTTCGTTTTAACCCCAAATAGTAATAAATGTTAAATTACATTTGTAGCACATAGATTTCGTGATATTTTCATTTATGGCCATAAGTTTTATTATTTTGCAATTTAATACATGAAGTTTAATGTTTTTAATTTTTAATATTATTATTGGTTTATTTACAATTTTAGTACCTAAAATATGATCTATTTACATAGGTAACCTTGAACTTTTGTAGTTTTATAATTTAATCACTAAGTTTATTATTTTAATTTTTTATATTTATCAATTTTTGTAATTGTAATGTTTTTTGATGTTCTTTTATTCGATTAATTTATAAAAATATATACTTAACTTGCTAGGAAGGTATTTTCGAAGATTATTCCTATAAAATAATATCTCATTTTCTTTTTTTATCATAATTTAAATATTATTCGAATTTGCCAATTTTAATAATCAAGATGACGTATAATCATAAGTAACAATTTTGGGCGTTTTGGGGGTGATAATCTTTCCACACACGTAACCGACTCCCTGACCCTTTTCAAAGTGAATCTGTGGTCAATCGCAGATCAAAAATTTTTATCTTTTAATTTTTTTAAATTTTTTTTTTAAATTTTTTTAAAAATATATTTTTGGGTATTCAACTTACCTAACCCAAAAGTTGATTTGTGACTCCAAAATTTTCTATTTTAAAACCCGACATGCCCCAATATTGTAAGTCGGACAGATTCCCGATAAAAGCCCTAAAAAGCCCAGCAGAGACCGTTTCGATAAGGGACTAAATTAAAAAATTAAAAAAGTTATCAAAAAGAGTAATTGAAAGAAAATATTTATTTTACGATGGTTTATGAGCTTTTGGTTCAAATTTGGTAAAAATGGACTTAAAATGAAGGAGGAATTGAAGGAACAAGGAAATTAGGGACTAAATTGAAAATTTTAAAAATATTATCAAAAAGAGGAATTTAAAGAACATATGTATTCTACGATGACTTAGGAGCATGTGGTTCAGATTTGGTAAAAAATGACTTAAAATGAAGGATGAATTGAAGGAATAAGGGAATTAGGGACTAAATAGTAAATTTGTCAAAATAGTCAGCCAAATTTTTGGTATTTCGAGTAACTCAAAATTTTCAAATTTCCACTTGAATCGAACTCTAAAACTAAAATGATAATTCAAGTTAACTCAAATAACTCGAAATTGAAAAAAATGATTTTTCGAGTTGAGTCGAGTTTTGCCCACCCCTAAATATCTTATTTAAAATTTTTATTTATATATAAAAAGAATTCGTATGGTTTTGCATGCCAATGAAAAAAAATCAATGACGACATCGATTTTGCATCTTCAATCGATTTCTTATTCTTCTTTCAAACTTCATTGTCTTTTTATTCAACTAAAAAAGAAATATATGATTTTTTTTTTAAATTAAAGAGTTAAAAAAATAAAAAAGTGAAGTTATTTTTTAATAAAATTATATATATATATGGAAATAAATTAACTGTCATACCCCAATTTAGGGGGTTAAATTTTAATAATTTTAAGTATCGAATTAAAGTCGTAACAAGGGAAAAGTTATGGACCAAATTGCAAATTTATAAAAGTTGTAGCTCAATTTTGAAACATGAGAAAAATTCAGGAACTTGAACTCGAATTATCCCATTTTCATTACTCGTTGAAAAATAAACCTCCCAATAGAGCAACCCAAAAAATGTCAACCCAAATCATAATCCCTAACCTCCAAATTCCTTCTCCCTGCCGCCTCTTTACCGTCTCAATCCGTAGCCGTCCGGCCACCCCAGTCTGCCCTGCTACCCTCAAAATGACCGCTACCCTACTCCGATCAAAACCCAATCCGTATCCTGTAATGAATCGGCGTCGTTCACCGTAAATCTCGTTGTGAAGTCTCGATATTTTCAATCTCGCCATCACAAATTTCGTCGATTCCGACCAAATTATTGACCGTCATGCCTCACATTCTTCACCATTACAATCACTGGTGTCGTGCGACCAAAACCCGACCGGGTTCGTCACCCATCGTCTTCGTTTTCGCCGATCAATGGAGTGGGTAAGCTTCTCTGTTATTTTCCTTTATTCCAATAGATTTTGGCTAATTTTTGGAATGATTGTGGGTTGTTTTGGTGTTTGGTTGCTTTCTGGTAATCGGCCGTTGCCCTGTCTTCGACGTCCACCGCACGCGCTGCCACACACCTATAATGCTTAGGCTTTGTTCCAGCCGAGTCAGTCGAGTATTCTGGAAGCTGAGTCAACTCAAACCAGGTCAACTCGTTGACCGGTCTGACTGTTAACTTTGATTGGTCTGACCGTTGACTTTGATCGAAAAATCAAAATTTTTGAAAACACATATTTTTGTTTTTCGACGTTTTGAGTCCAAATCTGAAGTCCGTTTTGACATATTCGCACTCGGTGAACCGTTTTTCAGTGTTTTATCTTCGAATTCAAGTTGGTTTCTCAATTAAGTTCAGTTTATGATATAAATTCGTTTGCTTTGTATCCGATAAATTATTGGACGTTGGATTAAAGTTCAAGGGCGATCAAATTTTGTTTAAATAGTCAATTGGTATGGCATGAAAATCAAGGTAATACCCTACTACCTTTTGTATGCTTTCCGAAACACATTGATAATTGGTAAATGTATCAATGAAAATATTTAGTCTATGAGATGTATTTAATTATCATTTGACTCAAATTAAATTTGGAATAAAGACAAAACACTGTATAAGACTCAGACGATTTGTAAAATAATTTGGTAGAATGATCGGAAACAAATCTAAGTTCAATAATTTAATTAGTAAATCAATCAATCTCGAGACTCGTAAATTCTGATTAATCTCGTTAAAAGTTAAATATCAGAAATACTTGGATACGAAACTACAAAAATATTGATATGTTGTAAAAGATAAGGTTTTACCTCGAAAGTGAAAATAAACATGTTAATCGCTCATGATCTTAAGATGGTAAAGGACTTAAAATTTTTAATTTATGAGCGAACACTCGGAGGCTAAATTATTGAAGGTACCTTACATGCCTTAATTACTCGAAATGATAAAGTTGAACTGAATAGAATTACTATATGTATTCGAATTGTTAAAACGATAGAATTACTCAAGAAACTCCTAAGTGATCTGGATAAACTTGAATACTAATTGAATTAAGTACCTGATGACCTTGAATTAAGCTAATAACTTGGATAAGTCTGGAATCACTTATGATCTTATATATTGTACCATCCATAAGGGTTTGAACCACGACTCAAGCACGTCGACATTTCCTGATGTCGTTGAAATGTATAAATGAAATAAAGATCATTGGCATATATATTTGTCTCCTTAAGATCAATTCAATGATGATTCGAAAGATGATCATTTAACAAGAGTTGTATGTATGAAAGAGTGAATACCCTTGAATTGCAACGATTTGACCGGTTGACAGGTATCATTGCTGAGATTTGTACAGTTCGAGTTAACTCGATATTCCAATAGATCGACACAAATCTTAAATGCCCTAAATCTTCGTTTCTCCCTTATTAGCTCAAATCATTAAGAATTCTCCAAGAACCTAATGCCCAAAATGCCTCTGATTTCCTAGATAATGGAATTACTCATGTCATATATGAAAACACAAGTAACTCTGATACAAAGGATCCTGAATACATTTCTAATTGCATAGTGCCTCCGAAAAATAACTGAATACTATATGATCATGATAAATCACGTTCTAAATAAATGATGAATCCGTTAGCTATCAAACCCTTTTTTGGGGACCTCGTCTATGAATTTAATCAGTTTACAAAGGTTTTATGACTCCATATCTGATAAATACAATCACCTCCGAATAATATTTGGAACCTCTAGTGTGTTCCCTAATCACAAGGATGTTTTCTCTAATTTCAAAAGTATGTCTCTGTTATCTGAAATACAGTCAGACATCTAATTTCTGCTCTGAACTTTGATATCTGTTATGATCTCTGATTTTTGTTATGATTTATGATCTCTGTTCTGATTTATGATATCTCTATTTACTGACTGAAATTATTTTTATACGGGATACTCTGGGACTCTGGTATGATTGAAGAAACTGGCAGGTTTAATATATGTTGGTAATTCCTTGTATAGTTTAACACCGACTGATATTTTTTTATGGACATAAGGCGACTCTTGGGTGGATCCTGGGCTTAATGGGCCTAGTGGTAAGATATTATGGACCCTAACACACTCTATTAGGGTGGATTCTCTGCTGTGTGCATTGGGTAAGTCCTTATGGGCCTGAGGGCACTCCCCTCAGGTCGACACCTACGCTTTGGCTAGAGTAAGACTTTATTGGACCCAAGGTGCTCCCTTAGGTTGACACCTACGCCTTTTGGGCCTAGGGTAAGTCCTTATGGATGTAGTTATAGGGAACTGCATATTGGCGTTCGGTTGGAGGATTTTACTATGGTTTTTAAAGATACGTTTTAAACTGCTAATGTTTTAAAAGGATATGTACATTTTCACTAGTTTTGTGGAACACACTAGACAACCTATTATGATCTCCTGAACCCAACCATCCGAAACATTTCCTCTAAACTGAAAGCTTCCTGTCTTTTACTACCTGAGATATCATGGGGACCTCAGCTCATCATAAAAATCTTTAGATGTTTGAATCAATAAGGAAGTTTTATGCTTACCTATTATATGCATGTCCTTCAGCATCACTTGATAGTTCTGTATTACTGAGCTTTCCAAAGCTCACTCTGTTTCTCACTATTTCAGGTTAAAAGGTTCAAACCAGTGCAGCTATCGACATTAGTAAAGGAGTTCCACAGGCGTTGCTTGTAGAGTACGGTGCGTGTGATTAGGGGGCATGTATGTTGTATTTTATTTTTATATACGTGTCTGAAATATGTTTTATTTCTGAATATTGGTAAAATTTTAATTTTGTATTTATAAATTGTTTTATGATTTTACTGTTTTAACAGAAATTTTAATTTTTTCGAGATTTTTACGGTTAGTCGCTCCGGTGGCCCTAATGTGACACCCCAGATCAGATCGGGTCACCCGCATCGGTCGGTGGGTTTTAGATTTACGAATAAACTTGTCATGTTAAGCTTCTATTATATGAGTAACAAAAGTTAAGAGTGATCATTTTATTACAAATTAAAAAATGTTAATGATCACTTTGTCACTTTTTAAACTTCAATAGTAAAAAGAAAATTTACCTAAATGTTAGTGAGGGTTCGTGTACTTTATCCTATTTTTAATTTTGGAGAGCGTTTTGAGAATTTACAAATCCTTTCCTTTCTTTATATTATGCTTGATGCTTTTATTAAAACAATAATCAGGGCAAATTCTCGTGGTCGATTCTCCGACAAATACTTGTTTTCTGCTGGAAATTTTCTCTTTTTCTCGGGGTAAGCGATACTCTTTCAATGTATTTCATTTTTTTACCCTTTCCTTTTACATCTTACTTATATTTTTGAAATCCCATCTCGTTATTGTTAGCTGAATTTTATTTGTTCATATGGGAATTTTTGGGTTTATATTGTTGGGCGTTTTTTTTCTTTTGCTGAGTTTTAAATTTGTTGGGTCAGATTTAATCTGGGTTTGTTTTGTTTTGCAGGTAAGCTCCAAAGCTTGGTGACATTGAAAAATTATTCAACTATTTTTGTGTGAAGTTTTGGTTTTTTCGAGCAGAGGCGTGGGATTGAAAATCTGGGAGTTTTGGTGATTGAGGTCAGTCTCCTTTTTACTGTTATTTAACAAATTAATTTCTTTGGCTTTAATGCTGCTCTCAGAGGTTGCATTTTCTGCTAGGAATTGGATTCTTCTGTTCAGCCTTTTTTGGAATTTTAGGTTGTGTCTGCTGTTTTTGTAATGCTTTTATATGAAGCTTTACATTGTATGCTTTGAAGAAATAGATGATGTTGTCATTGTTATCATTACTCTTGTCAACAAAATCGGATACTATAATGAATTTGAGAGTTGCATTTATATTCGGTAGACAATGCTTTGTTTATGAGTTACTCGAAATTGATGCTTCGCTGAATTATGGGGATTTTGAGTCCATCATGCTATGGAATTGAATAGGACAATTTCCATAGAATATATCAGTAGAACTATATATTTGTCCTGGACAAAAACTGGGCTTCAATGAATCAACAAGGTTATATCATGAAGGTAATACAGTTCACAAGTGACCCTGTAAAATACATTTACTAAATAAGAGGATTTGTCGCTGCGAGTGCTATCTTTGTTATGTTATCCGTGGTAAAAAAGAAGAAGATGTTTTATCCATACTCTCTAAATGAACCGTCTCTGTATTCTCAGACAACTTAGGATACTTTGGTGATACTTGATGCTTAATCTGAATGACTTTTGCATATGATAGTGTTGCTGGCCCTTCTGATTCAATTTGTCTGCTGTCCTTCCCCTACTTGTTTTGTCATTGAGACTGTGTTATCTACTATTTTTTTGTCATTTCTGCTGCTTATTGAACTATGGCTTGTTTTTATTTAAACCTTTTTTCAGCATTCTGGTTTGCAACATTGTCCTGTACTCTCTGCATTCAACATGCTAGATTCTTTTACAAGGTTGTGGCATTGCACTGCTGCATTTACGGTCTTGTAGACTTGCTATACATAGTAGGAGTGTAGGACATGGTTGAATGTTGCTGTTTAGTTTAAATTATACTCTGCATTTTCAGGCTAGCTTTACTGCTAGTACTATCTATTTTTCTTATGGAAGATGATACCAACGCTGACTGGTGCTCAAAGAATATTGGGTTTTAGAAATTGATGTGAAAAGGCTTGTTTTGAGAATTGTGGTTTTCAGGTTATAAGACTTTGGTACTACTTTTTGGATCTGAATCTGTGGGCTTAAAATACAAATTTGTTAGATATTCTCAGCTCCATAATTAGCAAACATTTTAGTTGCCACTTTAGATTATTTGCAATATTGCATAGTAACCCTGTTGTAGGTCAATGTCATTCAAGTCTTCGAGAAAGCAACTCAAAACCAGCCGATGAGCTTGATGCCTCATCTTTTATTTCTTGATCTCTTTTTAACGTTCATTCAGACAAAATGTGTTAGTACCATTCATTCTAGTTTGAATGAGGCCTTATTGAATTCTTTTGTCACGGTTTTTTTTTTTCTTTTTCTTTTTTTCCCTTTCTTTGTAATGTCAGATCAGGACTGTTTGTATATTTCTCTGGTTGTTAACTACGTGTTGCTTTGTTAGACTTTGAAAGAAATAATTGCTCTATTTCAGGAATCAGGCTCACATGTTGTATTACTGTTTTGTTTATAATTCAGCTCTGCTAGCCTCTTGTATCACTGCTCAGAATGAACAACCAATATGGTGTCGATCAAGTAAGTCACAGAATCTTGGTGATTTTTTGTAATATTAAAAGTTTGGGATTTTAAACAGGTAATGCTTTGTTCAGGATGAAGCAAAAGTCATTGGGTTTGAAGTGCCAAGATCACCTGATTCAAGTTATAATAATGCCTACCCTGGGAGTGAAGATGATGCACGTGATCCACCAGTTGTCCCTCCACACCTACATCGTTCGTTGCTTAGCTATCCCTCAAGTCTGAATGCTTCTGGGAGTATTCCTTCGCCAGAAAATGTGATTCTAAATCATCTTTACATTGAGAACCGAGAAGCACCTAGATCTGTAGTGGCACTTGGGTTTACTCATCGTTTTCGTTCAAAGTATGTTACTGTTGTCCTATACAAACCAGTTCCAAGAAGGGGGAGTACCAGTTCTTAAGATATGAACATCGAGTAGGCCTGTTGGGTTTGTTGGTTAGCCCTAGTGATGGAATAGCTGCATTCGACTCAAATAGGGAATTAGGAGAAAGAACATTTATCGGTTTCACTTGATGCCTTGGGGTTGTCCTTTGAAACCTGAAACTTAACAATTGACATGAAATACCAGTTATTGTGATACATGTAAAGCTTTATTGTTTCTCTTTTAACCAGTATTTGGGGTATTGTGAGCTTGTTTGCTGCCTAGGATGGTAGTAAATACTTAAAAGCACTTGTATTTGTGGGCATTGAATTAATGGATTAGTTTGTTTTGATGGATATGCTTTATGGTATGTTTATGGTACCACCTCAATCAACCTTATCTTCAAATATGAACTATTTTGTCCCTCCTTGTACTGAGAGGTCAAACTATATGAAGTATGTTTGTTTTTTAGATGACCATCATTTGTGAATTTAGTTGCATACATGAATTCTCTAAGAAATATTGAAAATGATGTACTTGTGTACGGCTCCTAATGAAAAGGAAAGCTTTCTCCAAATATTTTAGAATATGCACGAGTCAATGGCGTCACTGCATGATAATATACCATAACTATATGATTTTTCATATAGAAATATTGATTCAAACCGAAACCATATATATATATGGAGATAATCTTAACTGTCTATTTTTACTTACCTAACGATCTTGAAAATGTGTGAAAATTTCATAGTTAGAATTGGAAGAATGGAATATAAATAAGGGTTTATTAAATTTCATCCAAATTATTATGTGCTTATCAGGTGACCTGCAAATTTCGAGGTATCTGAAAATTTAGCTGAAGCCAACCATGGTTTGAGCTGCCAGCCGCTTGGCAGCATTATTGTTGGCTTGTTGAGAACTTAAATTGTCAACTGATTCAGAATAAGCTAAGATGACTTCATGCAATTAATAGACTCCTAGAAGTTCTGACCAGACTTATTTTTGCAAGCATTTCTCATCTCTTTAAAGAGAGAAGTAAATTAATTCAGAACAATGGTAGCTGCTATTATCATTTGGCAAGTTGTTGCTTTGGTATCTGATCTGATCTTCTGCAATATCACCTAAATGATAAGAACACCGAGTAGAAACTGAAACAAATGTAAAGCCAGATTTGCAGACTAATTTTGGAGAGTTCAAACCTTTTGAAACTGTCGAATCTGGGGTTGTTAGATTTCTGATTTACAAATTGTAGTAAGGTTACTTTTTTTCATCGTTTGAAGAGATGATAAAGTAGTATCTGTTTAAAACTTTATTAACTCATTGATAACGTACATACGCCTTATAGAGACGTACACACTCCTTATAAAGACAACTATTTGAATTTAAGACCTCTAAGAAGAATAACAATTTTTTACCACTGAAACTACCAGATAAATTCAGTAGTAATTTTACTTTAAGCTTTGTTTCGGAGAACTATCTTACACGTCTTCAACACAACTTTAAATTAACTACGTGAGCAATTGTTTTACTAAAAACAACTTTACAATTCAATTTGGCATGCCCTTCAATGACCATTCAATTATTACTAGAACTTGATATCCTATTTTGAATAATTCGAATTTAAACCTCAACCATTTATTTTGATAAAAAAATTAATATTTTGAACTAATTTATTTCAAATTTAAAATAATTTTAATTTGAAATGATCTAATTTAAAGATAATTATATCTAAATTTTTGACAAGTACACTTGAATAGCTCAAAGTATAAATGAGTGAAAATTTTGACTTGAAAGGATATATCAAACATTATTTTTTTTAAAAAAAAATCAATAAAATTAATGAGTATGTGTATTTAAAGGACTGTTAATAATTTAGCTTATAAACTCTAGTATTATTTTGATTTACACTTTTTCATATTTAAAGCTTTTATTTTTATATAAATACTTTTAAAATTATTATATATAAAATTTAATTTATTTTAGATGTTTTCAATGAGTATCGAACACATTCATGAAATTGAACCAATACTCTTTAGGAGGTTAAAAATGTTCTTAAAAAAATCCAAAGCTTTTTAATTGTTTTTTAAAATTGTTTGAAATATTATATATTTTTAAGGATTCAAAAGCAAATTAACAAATATTATAACTGATGAGAACTAAAAATATCATCTTATCTTTTCTTATAATTAGCATGTCAATAACAAATATTAAAATTGATTATTTTTTAACGCAATATCATTTTGCTCTTTTGAAATGTACAAGGATCAATTCGTACATGTTTTTACAGGAGGCACCAAAATGCAATCCAAGATATAGTATATAGATTGTTACGGTACTTTTACCAAGGCTTTATAATGCCGGTAAATCATATTAAGACATACTATCAATTATTTAATGAATACTATTAAATTAAATATTATATTTTTAAAGTATGTGACATCTTATGATTCGTTTATATGTATAAATTTATACAATGTTACTACATTATATTAATGATAATCTTATTATCATAATGCTTAGGTGCATCATATATAATACATGTTATTCCAAATTAGCTGGCAAGGGTTAGTTGGATAATAGTTTATTCATCAAGTTTTCTGCCATGTTAATGTAAAGCATATTTTATGGAAATTTTGCAGTGAGAATCAAAGTAGAAAATGAAGTTTCAAGAATCAATTAACCGTAGCAACTTGGCACATAAAAATATAATAAGGATGAATATAGTAAAATTTAAATAATTCAACTTGGCCATGTTAAATTAATGATCTGAAAAAATGATATTTCTCATTAATTATCAAAAGGGTAATTTAATAATCCATATTTTTATATTTTGCATTTATAAATATATAACCGTTAATTGGTATGATTGTTATATTTTATAAATTAATTAATTGAATTATTAAGGTTATACGATTTTGATTTCGATTTCAATAGTTAACGGTTATAGTTATGATTATGAATTTGGATAAACAGTTAATCATCAATTAGTTGTTATTAAATAATTTAAATTATAGATTTTTTTTCTTTTTGGTGGGAAAGAATGTATTTGGGCCTGTTGATAGCTAATACTTGTGGCTGCTTACTACCATTTGATTGGTAGGTAGATTGACGATTGTTTTAAAATATTTATATTTTAATAATTTTAAATTTTTTTCCAAAAAAATATTATTTTGAATTTTATAAATTATATATTTTTATTTTAACATAAAAGTGTATTTATTTTTTATAATTAGAAAGATTTTTTATTATTTTAAAATTGTCAGATTCATTGACACGTAGACTCGGTTGCTTTTGTTGGTTAAGATGACCACGATGACGATGACCATCACTATTAAAAATGAAAATAAAAAAAATGTCGTGACCAGTACGGTTTGTTATATAAATAAATGTACGGTCCAGGTTATGATAATTTCGATTGGTGTCGTATTTTTTATATATTAAATATTAATTGGTGAAAGTTTAAAAAAATAATATAAATTGTTAGATCACGGTGGATGTCCGTGATGCAAGGCGTGATCCAGGGATAAGTCAACTACCCAGCTGCTGGTGTTGCCTGTGCCGCACCATGTCTGGTCCCGCCGCGCTTAAACAAGATGGTTTATATTTTGGGTTGGTTCAATTTGGTATGAAATTAAATTAATTAATAATAATAACAATTTGGCCATTAAAAAGTTTCGTGATAATGAGCTATCCCTAATTGAGATTTTGATTAATACAATTTCATGGAGCGTTTGGCTAACTAAAAGAAAGTCACTTATATCATTGTAAAAATAATTTAATTTTGTATCATTGTACAATGTTATAATACTCATTTTTTAAAAATAGGCCATTGTCTTTTAGATATTTTTTTGATGGACTATGTGCACACATAAATGTAAAAATATTCAATTATTTATTATATATATATGAGAATAGAGATAGATGTATGAATTTATGTTAAGGGATAAATTTATAAAATTTTAGGAGTAAATTTATAAAATTTTAAGAGTATTACATTATATATATTTTTTGAATAATAGCGCCTAAAGCCATTACATTAATTTTTTTTAGGAAGATTATATTAATTCTTTACTCGAACGTAAGGAGGACCATAAGTATCTTTATGCAGAATATCCAGAAATTGAGCAGAACAAGAGTAAAAAATAGTAAAAGAACTATTTGGAGGAACGTTCAACTTAGCAATGAAATCAACCGCTGCATTTGCTTCACAATAGATCTTTTGAAAGTTGACGGACCATGCTTTATTGTAAAGGTTCATAATGGAATGCAAAGGGGTTGTACATAGACGGAGGGGAGAATAGACAAACATTCTCCAGTTGAATTGCGCAAAAGTCCTCCAACTGATCCGTGGGCAGTCGATTGCGAGAGAGCGCCATCAGTGTTAAGACATGGCCACCCGTCATCCGGTGGTGACCATTAAACTTAGAGAAGTTGTGGAGCAGTGATGGAATTTGAAGGTGCATCAGAATCAAGGTAAATTTTGCTTCAGGATATGCCAACATGGAAGGACGATTTATGATCAATAGGGATTCCTTGAAACACTTGGTTATTATGGCTCTTCCACAATTACCAAATGATGGAAGCAAAAAGCATATTCCACGCTCCATAGGTCTCATTACAAATGGTGTGAGATCGCAAATTAGAAAGCAACCATGTCTCAAGAGAAAGATTGAAAAAGGAAGTTAATATGTGCCTCGTGACCAACGCTCTCCAAATAAGACGAGTGAAAGGGGGGGGGACAATTCCTAAGAATGTGAAGGAGAGATTCTGACGAATGATTGCACGTAGCAAAAGTGGGGTCAGACCCGATACGTCTAACACAACAGACCTGAAGAATTTAACAATTAACTCAGTAATTGGTAAGGATGAGTCCCAATTATCTTTCACAAGACGTTCAAAGTCGTTATATAAGGACCACCCGAAGATGTAACGAAAAAGAGGACTGCTCCGCTGATTAGAAGTAGAATACAAAGAAAGAATAATGGTACGATGATTGGACTTCATATGAGTAAGATATTCCAGTGATGACATAGGGAAAGACTCAAACCATGTCGAATTACCCAGGCTTCGATCAAGACGGATATCACAGTTACCCTGGAACCAAATGCATTACGGCTGACATAAACAAAAGTGGCGAGGAAGTTGCCTTCTATCTGTAATACGACAGACTTCACAAAATTTCAATTTGGATGCAGTCATACCAGCAAAGCCAAATTCCATCCGCAAAACCAATTGCTTCGACTCTGTAAGAGTTCGGGAAACCTAAGAGATCAGTGACGTTATCAGTATTAGCTTTGCTGATCCGAGCTTCAACGAAAACATACATATTTAGCTTCTTATCACGCATAGATTGACG